ACACACACACACAACGCATCGTTTCTTGCAACGCAGTTTCATCACACAGTTTTCGATCGCAGTTGGGCGTGGTTGTTGCAAATCTCGATGGTCGGCGAGTCCGTCTTCCAGTCTGGATCTTATGGCCCACACTGAAACACTCGTCCAAGCATGAGACAATCAAGACTAACTTGCAAAGGTGAGGAATGGTACAAAAGAGATTGTGTGAGAGAGAAAGGATGCGTGCATAGCTATCAATGAGAGGCCGCGTAAGCCAGAACCTAAAGAAAGAGTTGAATCAAGAAGCAAAAAAGAGTCCACGACACGTTGAACGAGCAGCAGTGGGATCCGCCTGGGAGGGTATCACTCGTTTCCGAAGCCCATGCCCTCCTCGATGGCGAGCGCAAGCTTGCTCTCGAGCGTCTCAAACGACGGGTAGGGCGGCAGGTCGATGCGGTTGAAGCACGTATGCGACTTGGGCAGCTGGTTCACATCGCCCGACTTTTCAATCGTAAAGCGCCTCGGTCCATCCGATCCCTGCAGATCCTTGAAGCCGTTCACGGGAATCCTCGAGGTGCCCGTGGCGAATTGCAACAGACGCGACTTCTTCTCCGTGGGCCATGCGCGCACGCACTGCCAGAACCACTGCACCACCTGGTCCTGCTCGGTGAAGCCACGGTAGTCGGTGAACTTCTTCCAATCGTCCACATCGATCTCCGACATGCCGCCGATGAGCAGCTCGAGCTCGCGCTCGTCAAACACGTTGATCAGATCCTGCGGAATCAGCTCGGTGAAGCCGCTGATGAACGCCTTGAACTGCTCCTCGACGCGCTTGCTGATGCGCCACTCGGTCATGAGCTCGACGTACTCCTTCTTGTTCTCGTCCGTCACCTCGACCTCCTCTCCGCCATTCTTGAGCTCGATGGTGACCATCTCGCCAAACTTATCCTCGACCGCGGTGAAGGTCTCTTCGACGATGCCCTCGATGCTGTTGTCGAGCATCCACTGGAGCGAACGGTGGTAGTCGGCATCCACCGACTCGAGATCGCTCAGCGTGATCTTCTTCTTGAGAATCATCTTGTAGAACGACACGATAAAGTAGGCGTCGAGGAAGCGTCGGTGGAAGATGGCGAGGCCAAGCACGCGGCCGATGAACTTGAAGTAGTTGAGATGCTCCGGGTTGATGCCCGAGTGCGGGTTGATCTGCAGCGTGTAGTTGTCGTGCGCGCTGTACTCGAAGAGGCAGTAGAAGGGGTTGAACATCTCGTGCGACAGCAGGAAGAAGAATTCTCGCGACAGACCGCCGTAGTCGAGACCGTCTTCGCCATCGAACTTGATCATGAGACGCTTCTTGAGGTCGTTGGGCTGCTGACGCATGATCTCGGCGTAGGAATCCTCAAAGATGTGCGTGCGGCGCACCTTGATGTGGCACTGGCCAGGAATCGGGCGGAGCGCAGGCTGGCTGCGGAAGTAGATGAGCTTGCGACGGAAGTCGCGCTTGTACTGGGGCACGTTCTGGTCGAGACTCGAGGGCAGTCGCGGGTCGTCCCAGGTGGTGGTCTTGGTGTTGTGATCGACAAAGTAGACGCGTGCAGTCGAGGTGAGACGCATCTCCCAACCGCTGGGCAGCGGGCCGAGCTGCGAGACGCTCTGGGGCTGCACGGTGAGGTTGCTGCCGTTGGGGCCCATGATTCGGAGAATCTGCTGTCGTCGCGGGTCGACCCAGGTGGTGGTTCGGGTGTTGTGGTCCACAAAGTAAGGTCTGCCTTCGGGGGTGTGGCGCTGTTCCCAGCCGGCGGGAAGCGGGCCGTTGCCAGCCGTGGTACTCGAGCTAGCCGGGAGGGAGTTGGCGGCGGCGGCGGCGCCAGGGCTGGCGATGGCCGAGCCAGTCGCCGAGGAGCGGGAGGTATCGCCATCGCTGACGCCGAGGAAGTCGTCGGCCAAGGCTCGGTTGCTGTGCCTCTGACGATCGGCCGCGGTGGTGCTGGCGGCGGCGGCCGTGTTGGCGCTGGAGCTGGTGGAAGGGCGGGTCCAAGTTGTGGAGCGCGTGTTGTGATCGACGTAGTAGGTGCGGCCGAGATGGTCGGTCCTACGCTCCCAGCCAGTGGGCAGAGGACCATACTCGTCGGATCGCGCGTCTTGCGAGCCTGCTGGGCGCGCTGCCGAGGAGGCTGGGGCTGCGGATGATCTAGCGTCCGAAGCAGGACCCGACGAAGCAGGGGTAGCTGTGCTTGAGGCGGTGGTGGTGGCGGCGGCGGCGGCGGCGGCGGC